CTAGAGAGACTCTCAAATGTTGTACCCTTGCTTGAATGTAGGCACATGAATCATGCAAAAGTATGAACTTTTCTGTGGCCTCAGTTTAAATCTGGCGTCTGTCAGTACCACAAATATTATCACAATTTCTTGATGTGAAGAAAATGTATTGAGCCCTAGCTTCCTATTTCAATCTTTTCAAGGGCTGTATAGGCTTTGAATAAACCCAGCCTGACAATAAGCTCAGTCAGGACCTGGTTTGATAGTTTTTGTGGAGAAGCCAAGAAATCAATAAACAGACCCTCTCACCCTGTCTTTACATGGCATACATAAGTGCTTCTGACAAAACAATGCTGAAATCCCATCTTGGTGCCGAGTGTATGAACATATCTGAAAGCAGGCGGTAGTCTCCAGCAGGGGCTTGTCAGGCCATTACCTCCAGTGAACACTGTACTTACCAATTTTTCTAAGGTAAAAAACATATAACCCACAGAAATAAGGTTTAGAAAATTCAGCTCACAAACACTATTGTTACCTCAATGGCACTTGGAAATTTGAAAACCACAGATGATGCAAAAGGAACTCTTAAGTCTCTGTTTTGAGAAATGCAGGAAGATAAATTTGATCTGAGCTGACAGAAGGTTAATAATGAGTTCAGGAGAATCACAATTAATTGTCTTCTGTTAAGGCCTCACACAGTTTGAAACGGTGAGACCAAGCATCATTCTCTTCATGAAGCAGAGGAAAGAAAAAAAGATGAAAGAATCAAAGTGCGTAATCACCCTGGCTTTAACAAAAGCAAGTAGTTCTGCGAGCCTGGCAGATACAATTTCTCTTTCTAAGGGCAAGAGACAGAGAAAGAATATTCAGTGCATGTTCCTTTCCCAAAGAACAGGGCCATGAAAAGATCCTTCTACCTTTAATACACTGTAGGTTTAATGAAAGGCAACTGCTATTTTAAGGTTTTAAGGGGATTTTATAACAAAGAGGAGTTGCAGACACCATCCCCATTACCACCAGGCTTCCATCCTCTCTTTCATCTTTCTCACTAAGCCAGCTCTCAGAAACTTTTACAGATAGTTACAGCCATCAAATCAAGGTTAGTTGCTCAAAGGCTTGGTCCAACCATGTCCAGCTGTTATGGCTTAAATTAAATTGATACTAAAATAGTCTTTTATTATTATTATTACTAAAGTGCTATAATCATTGTGACTACAATCCCTCACTGCTCTAAAACTCAATTTAAGTAGTAATAAGTTGATAGATGCCACTATTTCTGATAACGGTCAGAACTTCTTTTCCAGAACTGGAAAGCAAAATAAAACTCCCAATTATTCTTAAAATGGCAGAAGGATAACCCCTGTTCCAGGGTAGAGACATGAAAGATCCGTTTTCTTCTCTGTTCCATCAAGCCATGTTGCAGATTCATTTAATGCATTATGTGCATTGCATTAGATTTCAGAACTCACATAGAGGGTTACAAGCTATATGAAAATGAAAGGTAAAAAAAAAAACACATGGCTTCTGAGAAGCCACTGGCAAAACTTAACACGAAAGGGTCAGAATTTCATTCTTGGTCTTTCTGTTCAGTTATCATAAAGATTTTCATCTAGTAATTGTGTCTGTGGGCTGACTGGGACTCATGCTGAAAACATGACTTCTGCTCTTACACTAAAAAGTTTCAAAAGTTAAGCTACTCTCAGCACTGTACATCAGCTACACTGATGTCCTTATAGCAATTTATCTTTTGACCCTTACAAATGTGATCTGGAATAAGTTCTGTTAGGCAATGATACACTTTTGGGCTCTCTAGTGAGACACTTTTCTGTGTGTGGAAAACTATTTAAAAATTCTTTTGTGCAGAAGCAGTTTTCTAACAGACAGTAGTGACAAGGCATAATGCTGAACCATAAGGTTTGGATCTTTTGCAGTCCTGAGAGAGTTACTTAGACTGTAGCATTCAGATGTGGGGATTTTGGCTTGTGCCATGATAGAGCCAAGAAGCCCAGCTCCAAAAGAAAGCATCTCACTCTGAGCTCCAAAGTTTGATGGTCTGAAAGTAAACTATGAAAGTATGTGGTTTTATGAAGGAGACACAGTAAGAAAGTGGAAGATGTATAAAGTCAGAGACAGTGGCATGACAAGAAGGAATCTAGAGTGTTAGGAGGAGGACATTGATGCTATGCAGTGGAGAATCTAGGTATATGGTATCTTATAGGTACATAAAGGAAAAATAAAATAAGGTAGTAAGAAGCCATTCTTCTAGCTGGTCATTTTTGCAGGTTGATATCCAGGTTGCTTTGTGCACAGCAACGTCTAGTAAATCCACCTTTTACTTTAAAAATTGGACACTCATTAAGGCCTAAGCCAGCTTTTCTCGTTAACTTTTTCAAAAGTCTCTAGGACTGTTGGAGCCACCTTGATGTTATAAACAGCTATATTTTTTTGAGAAAAAAAAAGTTTAACTTAGATAACATCTGTCCAGTGCCAAGCTCTTCCTCACTCAACAGGAAGTTTATAATACCAGCAGTTTCTCTTTCCCCTTAGTCCAGACTTTGTCGTACAAGACAAAGTCCAGACTTTGTCTACAAAATGTAGAAGTAAAAACTAAAATAATAGCAAGAATAGAAAAAGTTATTTAAACTGTCAAAATAAAGCGTTTCAAAGGCCTCTAAAATGTAGGTCTAGGTTTTGTTAGGCTACAAGAATTTTGATAATTGACATAGCTTTGAAAGTATTCAGTCAATAAAAGCAACATACAAAATAAATTGTGACAAATTTTATGTAGCTCTGTTACAGTAAAATTGCAGAATATGGTTTATACTCTTATACTTCTATTAGGTCTCCATACAATCAGTATATACAGATAAATAAATCAGGTCATCAGTATTCTCCTAAACATCACACGAACATCATATGCATACAGAAACACCATATCTGCACATCTAAATCAAGTAACTGGGTGTGTAATTGGCAATGGTTACAGGAGGTTAATTTCTGTTTAACTTCCTCAGTATGCAGGGCTGTTTTTTTCTTTCATAACCACAAATAGAGATATTTCATTTAATAAAGGAACCTCAAGAGCATTTTTAAAAGTACTGTTTTAAACCAAAATTTCTTGGGGACTGAGAGAAAATTCAGCTAGGCATAATATATCATTACATATATGCCTGGCTCTCAAATTTCTCACAATGGGCCCCTGCAAGAGACAGGATGCCAAGTAAGGTCAGCTTTGGCTTGCATGTCTATGACTGTTCTTATATACAGATCTATTATCTCTCTTCCTCCCTAGCCCCTCCCCAGTATTCATATCATGCTATAAATCTCAAAAAAACTCCCATTTATAAAGGACAAATTTGTCCTTCAAATATGTAATGATTTAAAGTCCCTTAATTTATAGGTGTCCTTTGTAGTGTTGTCACTGTAGGTACACTTAAAGCAGGAAAACTGAGCCTTTCACATATGAAGGCCATGTGCTTCTCCTGAAGATGCCAATACCAATGTACAGAAAGTGGCTTGCTGTCTCTTATATCTTTCCTTCACAAATTAATTCCAGAACCCTGAGCTAGGCAGTGTCTCACAATCAGTTTACTTTTTCACTCAGCAAGGGAAAAATTAATCTCTTTTTCCCCCCAAAATGAGTGTATTTCACACGGAATTTTTCAATACACCTTTCATTATTGCTAGGAAATGAAAACTTGGAGCAAGATATTGGCAAATGTTCTTTATTGTATCATTGTAACCCTATAGGACCCTATAGGACCAATCACTTGAGGTACAAACAACACGAACACTTCTCAATTCTATTTAAAACAAGTGGTAAAACAAATGTCAAATGAAGAAAGGTATGCCTGATACTGAAGGAAACCCATTTTGTAACTCACTTCATCCTACTTTTTAAAAAATTATTTCTGTATAACTTTCTTGTCACAGTGATCATATATATACTTGAAGGAGATGTTTGCAAACAACCTACTGTGGCTAAAAAGTGCAACAGCTGTTCAGCACTAACTTCTTTGTCTAGTTGTTTTTCTTGATATACGCCTATAGGTAATTTTGATTAGTCTGCTTCCAAAGTAGAATTTAGCACAGAATGGCTAGTTTAAGTGAATTCTGGTTACAGACACAACACAAAGAAATTCCACTCAGTAGAAATGTTTCTTATTTCTAAGAAATATTGAACATCATTGGGCCAAATGTAAGAAGATACGTTTTTGTCTGTTTTTAACAGTTGCATCCTTCAGTGACAATTACAGTTCAGCAAATGTGTCTCATGAAGTTTGCATAAAAACAGTGAGTATTTTTCAAATCAGTTTCACTTCCAGAGGGAAATCTGGATAACTGACTCAGGCAGACTCCCTTGTCAGTCTAGACTGACTCTAATGTAGACTACCTAATGTAACGGTGTGAGTATAAGCATCAGGCAGTTAATCTAAACTAGCTGGCTACTCCCTCCTAGAACAAGCCTAGGCTCATCCCATTTCAAGACAGGCTGATAAAATGAATGGGAGGGATTGCCTTCTGCAAGTCAAGAATTATTTCTGTTATTATTTCCTTAGCGGGACTAGCGATGATTTAAAATTAGGTCCCTAATTATTAGAGGGGCAATTGGTGAAATGAATCATATAGTTCCTTGGATTCCAAATATACACTGGGAGGATATACCACATTGCATAAATTGTAAAAAGGCAATCCTGCATGATTAATATATACAAATAGGATGTAAATAGTTTGCAATTTCAGATAAGAAATCTGTCAATTAAATTATTATTAGCATGAAATTGACTACTATGTGTCAAGTTATTCAAGTAAAATGTATTAAAGCCTCCTGTAAATGTGAAAGTATCATGTCCCATTTACCCAGTCCAACTGATGCAAGCAGATCCTCCTCCAAGCTCCACCAGTTTTAATGAGAGACCACACAGATACAAGAGTCTGCAAGCACAGGTGAGACTGTAGACCATTGCTGTTGATTTTAAGCTTTATATTCCCTGAATTTTAGAATAAAGAAAGGCGCTTACCTGTTCAAATCACGATGTATGATTGGTTGTGTGAGATTGTGGAGGTACTCCATACCTTTAGCTACATCTACAGCAATGATTAATTTAGACTGCAGATCGAGAGTTCTATATATTGAAAAAAACCACACAAGTATTACTCAAAGTTAATAAACAGACAAAAATAATATGTAAATCATTCTTATCTGTAAATCCTGGAACATTTAATGTTTTTTTTTAAATACAAAATAATATTATATAATCTGTGTAATATAAACATATAGAATATAACAAAATGACTGCATTTTTTTTGATTAGTTATTAATTTTCTTTGTGCACCCAATAATCGTAATCAAAGCCAATTTTTTCCTATTGTGTTCCTTTTACTATTGTTTTATAGTGAAATGATTAGCATTCACATTGGTACAAATTTACTTGTCTTTCAAATTCTGTACCACAAGCCCTAGCAAAGACCAAGTGTAATACCTCTTCTGTTCATGAAGCAGGGAGAAGAGTGATCCTCCAGAAATATACTGAGTGACTATTGCAAACTGACTTGGGTCATCTAAACAAGCTCCAACAAACTGGATGACACATGGATGATTCAGTCGACAGAGAATGGAAACTTCACGGCAAAACATGTCCACATCAGATTTGGAGCAGTAGGTATTGGCTCGGTAGCTTAGAATTTACATGAGACAAAATTAAGATAAAACCATAACAAAATCATTACAAAAATACTTCAAACTACCTCATCAACCAAGTGGAATGGAAAAGGCTGGCAAGCTTACCGTTTAATTGCTACAATTTTATTTCTGCATCGTCCCTTATATACTTTTCCAAAAGACCCTAAAATAATTTAAATAAATAAGTATGATGATAAGATATTTCTTATGAACATCAAACACTTAAAATGGAGGCATTATTATTTCTGGTACCTGAGCCAATAATCTCATGGAACTCTATTTCAGAGAGCTGAAGATGGAAGTGTGATGGCAAACCAGCACGGAGGAGAAGAACATCTGCCTTTTCTGCAAAAGAAAACAGTTATCTTATTGGTAAAACACAGGGTCACACAGAAGTACAGAATATAAGCATTTAACTTCACAAAACCATTATAAAGTAAAAACTGATTTTCCTCCTGTAAAGTGGTTGCCTGATAATCCTATTCCCTTTTCTTTCAAAATAAACCTCAATAACAAACAAATAATTGCAACATTACCGTTGCCTTGGGCCTTCTTGGGTTTAAAATCTTATCACTGATGAACACTGTCCCATAAGAATATTCTGACTGTATCAGGTAATGATTGTATAAAATCTTTTATATGGATAATTAGTTCCTTTTTTCTTTCCTGTATAGCTAATACTTATTACTAATGCAGTGCATGTTATTTCACATCTGATCTACTCTTCAGGGACACACAGAATCTGAATTTTGCAACTTAATTTAGTTAACAAACATCTCTCTCTTGTTAATCTATTTGGCTTATTACTATAAAGTTCATCAGAATATTTCTCAATGGAACATTTCGATGCTGCTAAAGGATATAAGGATTTGATTAAACCCAGACTGACCACTTGAAATAGAAAATTGAAAGGACCACCAAAAGTGAAATATTCATATGAATGTTTTATCCACAGGTGTTTCAGAATAATGTAATTTATTCATGGATGTGTGTGTATTTCATAAGTACTAATTCACAACCCTTTCTCCTAAAAACAACAAAATATACATTTTAAAGAAAATTAAAGTACGATGCAGTAGAGGAATTATCATGCTGTTGAGCACCTCTGCAGACACCAAGAAGAAAAATTTCAAGATAATTGTTTCCTGAAATTATCCTAGGGAGATATAGCTACTGCTTATGCACAACACTACATTTCTGAGTTAAAAGAAATCCAAGAATAATGAATCTTGTGTGGTACATTTAGGCTGAAAAACACCTTGCGTAGAAGAGTATAAAACTCTGAGTTTTCCCTTGCCATTGAGAATACCTTTTGTCATGCTTTTAATTTTTCCTAGAGGGGATGGAACTGACACATAGGAACCATCTGAAATAAAAGAACAGAATGAGTTTTACAAAATTCAAAGATAGTATAAGCATACTGATAAGTATACAGGTAAATTAACAAGGCAATGGTTGCTTAAAGAACAACAAGAACAACAAAACCAACACCAGGACGAACATACATTCAAGTATTCACACACAAAAGATTGTGGCATGTTATATTGCTGCATTGGTCAAAGAGAAGCTTGACATGAGCTGGCAATGTGTGCTTGCAGCCCAGAAAGCCAACTCCCAAGGGAGGGCCACAAAAACGATCAAGGGGCCGAGAGTTGAGGTTGTTCAGCTTGGAGAATGCTCAGGCTCCAGGGAAACCTTATAGTGGCCTTCCAGTACCAAAAGGGGGCTACAGGAAAGGGGGAATGACTTTAAACTAAAAGAGGGTAAATTTAGATCAGATATAAAGAATAAGTTCTTTACTCGGAGGGTGATGAGGCACTGGCACAGGTTGCCCAGAGAAGGTGTGGGTTCCTCATCCCTGGAAGTATTCAAGGCCAGGTTGGATGGGGCTTTGAGCAACCTGGTTTAGGGAAAGGTGTCCTGCCCATGGCAGTGAGTTGGAATTAGATGACCTTTAAGGTCACTTCCATACGAAACCATTCTAAGATTCTTGAATGTGATTTGCTTATAGCTTCACTAAACTCTGTAGAACAATATTGAATTTCAGTAACGTTAAGAAGGGCCAATGTAGCCTTTCATATCAGATAGATTTTGTAAAGGTACTTAGATCATATTAACAAATTCTGACAATTGGGCTGCCAGTAAATTGGTCTGTTCAGCTCATTAAGTAGATGTTTCAAAAGACCTCAGCTTTGTGTACCAAAAATTTCATCTCAGTTTTTCTACTTAAACAGGAGAATTCTTTTTAACAGTCAACATTAAAAGTCCCTCTGGATGTTTTAATGCCAAAATGGATTTCCAATGCATGAATAAACTTGGTCCTCTAAAGATTTACTTGAACTTGATATGTACAAAACCTAAACCTGGAACAAGTTAAACTACTCTGTGGATGTGGAAAGGTAGGGAGGAGAATGATCCTGTTGCTGACTGTCGGGTTCTTCCTGTTTACATGACAGGAAGTCAATGACCTGGACAAGCTGCAGTGTATAACATATTTACCTTCTCCATAGGAAACAATCTCAAAACACTGTAAAATGTTTTATCTATCTGCTTGAATTAATATTCTTCTTGCCACTTGCCATACAGATGCCAATGAGTAATTTTGTAGCAAGAAAGGGTAACTAATTCTTCCCAAGGGTGAATTATGTATCTAAAGATATTAAAAAATATGAAAGGGACTGAGCATGGAAATATACTGAATGCCAGTAATCAAAGAAACATCAGAGGTAGACAACAAAAAGAGAATAGCTAAACAAGGCATTAAGGATGTTAAAAGCTATGAGTAATGATTACTGGGAAATGATCATCTCAGCTTTTAGCTTTTCTTCCTAGCAAGGAATAGAAAGTGACAACTCTATTTTCAGATAAAGGAAGAATTTTGACAGAAAAAGGGGATATATGATATGTGGAAAATGGGGATTCTCATGACACTAGTTTTCTTTGTGCCATGCAGAATAGATCTAATGCTCCTTCACATTGGTGGAGCACTCCCAGAGACTCCCAGTGGTCTTTGGATCAGGCCATTTGTTTAGCAATTAAAGTGATTTCTCAGACCATACCTCCCCCAGGCTGTGAATATTCATTACATGGTGATTCATCTTGAGGTCGTTTATAATGCTTCAGAAGGGTCACAATGGCATCATGACCTAAAGAAAGAGGGAATATAAGGATTTGTAGGTAAACTCAACAGTCACTTTAAAAATCAATTTATATAAAATCAGGGGATTAAGAAAAAAAAAAAAAGAACTGTGTCTCTAAAACATGTAAGCAAGGATGCAAGGATGCAGTAATGCTAATCTAAATTTTAATATAATTTTTAACTACAGAAATACTGGGAAAATACCTAAAAGCAAGCATGTTATTTTGAGCTCACCTAATACTAACATGTGATACACGGCAATAGAAAAAAAAACAAAACACCTGATACAGAAATATATAAATGGAGGTTGATCGATGGAGGTTGTTTGTAGTCTTCAAGAAGCCTTAGAAGGGAAACCAATACCTGAAAATATCTCAGTTATGGTGTCTCAAGCTGGACAAAATGTTTACACTATACTGCTATAGATATTTGCTATACTCGTCATTCTTCTTGCAAAGAACCTGAGGTCTGTGTGCACACAATATGCTCAGTCTCTCAGATATCTGATGTACAAAATTCTGCTTGGTAATGCTCAAAAATCCTTTCTAAGCCTTTCAAAGCTCTCTTTTCATTTATTTATTTATTTGTTTGTTTGTTTATTTATTTTTCTACAGTATTTTTCGTACAAAATATTTTGCCAATATCAGGTTTCTGAAAGGCCCTTAAAGTCTACTGTTTTACTTCATTACAATCATTGTCATAATAAATAGTACTGCAATGGTTTGGAGGATGGGGGAACGTCCCAGAGTCCTCCAAATATAACTTGTATTTTTCCCCATTCCCTAGAAAACATACAGAAAAAACAGCATTTTGGAGTTCTTGTTTTGTGCTCACTGTAAAGGGTTGGGCTCAGCATTGCTTATTCATACACACAAGCCAGTAGGAAATGTTCCTGATTGCTGATTACAAATACGAGAGCAGGCAAGAAGAAAAAGACCTCATACTTTTGGAATAAGGTCATGATGCTTTGATCACATACCAAATGTTATCTTTAATTTCAATAGCTCTTGCAGCTCCATTTAATTGGAGCAATTTCCTGCCTGCTCAGTGAAAAAGCAGAAAAGGTAAGTTAAGCTTTTTTTTTTTTTCCCTCTCCTGTTATTAGAAACTATGTTCTCCAGGAAAGATGTTCTGCTGGCTCAGAATGCTGCTAGGAACATGAGCTCACACCAAAGTGTGTCAGAAGAGGAACAAGAGGAACACTCCTCTAAAACATAGTAAATTAATTCAAGGACAGGTTTCTACAGATAACAGCTTTATAGACATCTAAACTCATAGGATACTTGAGATAAATATTTGAAGTGTTATTGATTAAATTAACATAAATGCTAGCCCAAAGATGGAAACTTCTTCACCAAAGCAATTAAGAGACTACTTAAATATCCTTTCACAGTCCATAAGCATGACAATGCCAGGAAGAATAAACTGCAGGGTAGTCCGCATAAATACATGGCTGTTGAGCACTGATGGGATTCCTTCATAAACTGCCCCAGCATGGGTCTGTAACACGGGGTCCATCCATCAGGAGCAAACTGCTCCCACCCAGTTTCCCTGTGGGCAGCAGCTCCCCCAGACCTGAGCTGCGGCCCGGGGCCTGCTCCTGCGGGGGCTCTCCATGGGCCGCAGCCTCCTCCAGGCCACAGCCACCTGCTCCACCGGGGGCTCCTCCACAGGCTGCAGCGTGGAGATCTGCTCCATGTGGGACATCATGAGCTGCAAAGGATCCTCTGCTCTGGCACCTGGAGCAGCTCTTCCCCTCCTTCTTCACTGGCCTTGGTGTCTGTGGGATTGTTTATCTCATGTTTTTCTTGCTCCTCTCTCACTACAGTTGTGCAGCAGGTTTTACCTTTTCTTTATTTTGCTCTCCCAGAGGCACAACCAGCATTGCTCACTGGATCATCTCTTGCCAGCAGTGGGTCCCTTTTGGAGCTGGCTAGACATGGCTCTTTTCTGACATTGGGCAGCTCCTTGTATCTTCTCACAGAAGCCACTCCTGCAGATCATCCTGCTACCCATCCCTTGCCACATATACCCAACACACCATGCAGCCGACATATCAACAGTGTAACAGGAACCATGGAAAATACTCTGCTTTGAGCCATATTTGCAAGAACTGAAGATTGCTAACTCTGATGTATTGTTCCTTTTAATGCCTCCTTCATTAATAAAATTAAATCTCTTCATGTATGTCCCAGCAGCCTTTCTGAACAGGCTGTTTCCTGTTTTAGCAGCACATAAATACTTCTGTCCTTGACTTTGTGTTGAAGTAAACTCATGTTCAACAGAATATCTGAGAAGATAAAAATAAGGGCTTGTTTTTATAACCCTTCATGCCGTGAATTAGAAAGCAGATGGTGAGAGCTCAGTCTACAGGGACTGAAGGGTTATTTTGTGCTCTTATCTCCTGCCTATACTGTTCCTATGAATTTTGTAATGAAAACCAGAAAACTGAAATACCTTTCTCATAAGCCCACATCAAACACGTCTGCTCATCCTTTTCTCCACTGGACCTGCTGGGATCACAAGCTACGAGATTCATATCAGCTCCATTATCCAGTAAAAACTGTACTAGACGAATATGACCATGATAGCAAGCACAGTGTAATCCTAGAACATCAGAGAAGCATGGTAAGCATAACTGTCAAAACACTATAGTAGGACTTGCAGCAACACATATAAAGAACAAACTAATTTACCTGATAAAGGAATATATTATGAAACAAAAACCTGAGGCAGTAGATGGAAAAATAATGCTGCAAGAACCAATCTATTGCCTGCTATACAGCATGTCAGCATTTACTCTACCACCTACAAATCACATTTAACAACTTTGCATGTGAGGAAAAACAAGTAGAAGCAAAGAAGCCTTTTTTTTTTTTTTTTTTTTTTTCTTTGCCTGTAGTAGAGACATGGAGGCATGCAGCCCTTCAGACACTACATCCTATATGTACCATCCCTAGCAGAATAATACTTTGGCCCAATTCTTAGACCTGCTTAGAAGTCTAACTATGGGAGAATCACTTTATATCACGTTTCACTAGTCATATACAAGCTGGCATATCCTCACTGAACTCTTACTATTTTTAAGCCTGTTTGAAAATATATTTTAAAAAAATTCAGATCTCTCTGAGAGGTAATTGGATGCTGATCATTGAATTACCATGTTAGTTACCTTGGATATCCTGTGTGTGTATGGCAATTTTTTTTGGTGCTGGTATATGCACTAATACACAATAAAGATGAGGATGTTACCTGTATGTCCATCTCTTCCCTGGTGATTTATGCTTACAACATTCTGGTCAAGAAGAAATTTCACAAGTTCTATGTTCTTTCCATAGGTACAAGCACTGCAAAAATGAAAGAAAAAGTGAATGCTACAGTCCATAAGAGGACAAATACTTTGTGTAGCCAAAGATTTAAAAAGAATTACAAAGAGATAAAAATGGCATAACATAACAGAATAAAAGATTCTTAGAAATGCAAATGCATGATTAATCCACCAAAGCAAATATGTTTGTGTCTGTTGTTTCATGAGCATTCTAATTATTCTTGTATAAATTAATAAAGTCAGTTTTTCAAAGTCCTCTTATATAACACTTTGCAGTCTCACAGCATTGTAACCAAACTGTGTTCTACCACCTCATTTCTAGGTTAGAATATCTAGAACCCAGAAGGTTTCTGGGAAGAACTCCAGTCAGCTTCCAAACTTGTCAGAAAGAGGAACTATTATTCATATAGATGTTGGTGGACCTGATGCTCTTCCTACATTTCCTTCCCTGCCTTGCTCCTTGATCACAGTCTGGTTGTACCTCTTAATCCATGTCCTCTCCTGTATGTCAAGACATAAACGTAATATCCATGTTGAGCTCACTTTGTTCTTCACCTGGCTGGTGAGATGCTTGTTATTTCAGGTGTTGCATTGCATGCATCTAGAAATGCTATTCTATTGACAATGGTATTTTAAATATCTCACCTGTGGAAAGCCGTTTCACTGAATATATTTTCTTTAGTGAGACTTTCTGTTCCTGAGAGCTGAATTATTTCCTTTACAACTTCAAACTTTCCATTGTAACAAGCACTGAAGATGAAGTCAGTAAAGAGTTGTTAACAATGCCAACTTTTTAATTAGGTCCAAGCTATGTAAAACAGAGCTTCTCCACATGACTCACAGATGTAAAGGTGTGTCTCCATAGATATTAACCACATGTGGTTGAACTTCAAAACTGCTCTGAAGTAAGAATTTTACAATTTCGTGGTGTCCAAATCGACAGCAGAAGTGCAGAGGTACATGATCTTCGTTGTCCTGAGCATTCACTGTCATTTGAGCCAGAAAGAAACCAAACAAAATATTTTATACTTAACATAACTTCTTCAGAATAATCAATAATACTTTATGTCTATTGCATATACATTATGAAAATCTCTTCTACTAAAATATTGTTTTATATTTTTGTTTTGTTTTTGTTTTGCTTTATATTTTTCCTAAATAAGTGTTAGGAAATTAAATTCAAATTCAAGACTCAAGACTTGATTATCTATAGAATACCATGTTAAAGATGATTTTTAAAAATATCTTTTCTTACCATCAGCTTTGCTTCCCTCTTCCATCAAGAGCTTTGTAATATTGAGAAAGCCTTTGGCAGAAGCTAAATGGAGAGGTCTGTCTCCAACTTCTCCACTTGCATTCACATCAGCTCCAAATTTTAGCAAGAGATGAGTTACCTAATTAGTTCATCAAGATTAATTAAAATATCATATGAAAATAAATCTTTTCACAAAATCAGATGGAATATTGCGCTGGATAATACTATATGTAGGCATCTAATCAAGACTGTGATTATTTTTTCAAAGTGGTTTATGGCAAATAAAGAAACTAATCTTTCAGACCAACATAAAAGGAGCTTCTTAATGTTACTGGATGATGAGGTGCATGTATATGAAAAGAAGGATCTCAGGAACACATCCATGGTTCACACCTTGCTGACATTCAACCACAGAAGTGGAACGTTTTCAATCATGTGAATCTGGTCTCTGTTCTTTCAAAAGCTTTTCCTATAACTCTACAATGCACTCCGGGTAACATGTCACTGAAATGAAAAATACATTCTACCTAGGGCTCATCTTTTGTAACTTGAAAATGGCCCAGAGTACATGCTTTTAGCCAAAGAAAGGTATGGGGAATGACTTACATAAGCCAAAACAGACCCATTATTACATTTGACATAAAAAATATTCAGGGCAAATGAATGGATTGCTACATTAACCATATATGAACAACACTTCAGTAAAAGAAGAGAATTAGAAGATTGGATGCCAGCTTTGGTCAGTTTTTGAGATAGTGTTTCAATAAGTTCATGGTCTGCGTGAATGAAACAAGCACATTTGAACTTGTTATACGCACCATACTTCATGAAAAATCCATCTCTCTAATCTATATTTTTTTCCATGAACTTTAAAGTGTCCATAATTAAATTTGTGAATTTTAAGGAAAACCAATAGAATTGCCATTCAATTATTAGTAGGTAATGATATTCACCTCCTTAGAGAGACTTAAGATAGTGTACTCACATTACATTCCTTATGAAATCTCTGAAATGTGGGATGAGTAAGAGTCAAATTAAATGTGTCTATGGGTCCAAGCCTGTTATAGGTTAATGGAGCTGTCTAGATAATCATTTGTTTCAAGAGACCCAGAGGGAAGATACCAATTTTTGTATGGTCTAGCGTAGAGGACTAAAGTGTAGATATTTCCTGTTAATATTCAGACTCTAGAGCAACCAGGAATTGACTTCAGTACATGAGCTCTTTTCATGGTAGGTCCCTCTTAAAGGTAAAGTAAAAATATCTAAGAATAAACCTGAAGTTTTCTGGAGTATTCCAACACTCAACTTTCAGAAATTGCTCCACTTAGTTACCTGTTCATGCCCATAATATGCAGCAATATGCAATGGGGTGAAAAATACTGCATCCTGAACATTCACATAAGCTCCATGCTGCAAAAGAATATCAACAGCCTAGAAGGAAACAGATAGAAAATTCCAGTTAGAAGCACTATATATATGAGGTCAGCTAGTAAAACAAGATTTCTAATCCTTACATCACCAATTTAAAAGAAGCAAAAAGCCCTAAACAAGCAAGATATAAAAGTGAAGAACTATGTATAAAGTGTAAAAGTGATTAATTTACAGTACTTTATCTGAACACTGAATGTCACTGATGCTTTATAAATTAGCCTGAAGATGTTTGCCAGTAAAAAACTTGAGTTGCAAAGCCAAAGGCACAGAAACGAGTCTGTCCTTTAATTTTCTTTTAACCATTATGAACAAAGAGCAGTAAACATATCAGAGTTTTCAGAAGTAAATAAAACAGAATGAAAGATCCTTTTAAATGTAAATGCATGCAGGTAAATCCTCAAGCATAATTCCCTCATTGTGTAAAGATTTCTTTGTATTTTAGAAGATAATAGCCCTTTGGCTTCAACATATAACCTTAAGCATTTTCTTTCAAATTATCACTTTTTCAACTTTCAGGAGACCAATGTTGTCATAAACAGCTATTAATCATCAAACACTGGGTTTCTGAATAACTGTCAAAATAGAAGTCTGAAATGAAACTGCCTTGAATTATTTATTGAAGCTTAAAAAGCTGCTAATCTATCTTTCTTCTTCTCTTTCTTTCTTTCTTTCTTTCTTTCTTTCTTTCTTTCTTTCTTTCTTTCTTTCTTTCTTTCTTTCTTTCTTTCTTTCTTTCTTTCTTTCTTTCTTTCTTCTTCTTTCTCCTTCCTTCCTTCCTTCCTTCCTTCCTTCCTTCCTTCCTCCTTCCTCCTTCCTTCTTTCTTCCTTCCTTCCTTCCTTTCCTTCCTTCCTTCCTTCCTTCCTTCCTTCCTTCCTTCCTTCCTTCCTTCCTTCCTTTTTCTTCATATAAGGGAGTCTTTGTGAACACTCAGTGGCTCACAACATGCATTATCTAAGCAGTTCTCTGTACCATTCTGATGAAAATGTTTGAGTCTAATGATAGTGAAGGCTGCTGGACTGTGAATCACCCACAGTACAGTAGTAAGTGGGCAACACCTTCCTAGCAGTCTAAAGAAATCACAAAGAAGGGGCAATAGCCAGCTTATATGCTTATATTCATACCTGTATCTCCTCATTGAGACTTCTATTGATCATGTCATTTAATGCCAGCTATGATGATGCACATTTCTGTCAACTTGCATCTAAGCTGAGACCACCAAACCATTTCACACACGCAACGATGTGGCTGGTCCTTTAAATCCATGTCATTCTCAAGTACTCAGAGAACTAAAACCTGTTACTACGCAATATTGGTGTCCAGGGATTATTCCTTTACACAATTTAAATTTATTTTTTTTCCGTATGACTGACAATACATTTTCTGTGTGAGGTCCATTCCCTGACATACTCAGGTTTGCCTGTTGCTAATTGATTTTAACTATTTTGTTATGATGTCAGCTGTATGCCTCCCCTGGAAATAGGACCAAAATCCAATTCTGTTTCTTCAAAAGCCAGGGACCTCAACAGGATAGAAAAAGGCCCAGTGGATTACAGAAGAGACCTAAGTGTTTCAAGGACTAAGCCCTTATACTGAAAGCAGACCAGGGGAGAAAACAATTGCTATATCTGTTGTCCCGTGGAATTATTCTTCAGCACCTCAGTACTAACAGGGAATGCTGGACATCTTTGTCAAATAGCATTCTTCAGAAACTAAAATATCCTGGGAGCGTATGTGGTGGTACAGCATACTAGGCAGGGATAGACATACTTCCGATGGGAATGGGATAAACAGTGAGCAGCATTCATGAATTAGATTACAAACAAGTCCCAGAAGCTGATGCTTGCATTTGGCTGCTGTGGTTTTACTCCAGGATCATATGAGATCTGAGCACATGCAAGTAAGGAGGCAGAAAACGGCAAGAGGAAAAGGACTCCCAAATGAAGGCAATCCTGGAGATGAGAAGTATCCTAAGCAGCCATAGCCAGACTCTGTGTCTACAGAACTAAAAACTAAATTGTCAATTTAGATCTGTAGTCAACATCAAAGTACAGATTAAAAAAAAAAAAAAAAGATAGAAGAAAGATCTTTAACCTCTCATTAACCTCTCAATGCCTCAGTGTGACTGGGTGCAGTCAGTACAGAGCTATCAGTGCAGATCTACCAAGTTTAAGTCTTGCCTGACCAGCCTGGCTGTGCTCTGTGATAAAACAAGTAGGTTTGTGGGTGAGGGGAGAGCAGTGGCTAAGTGGCTAAACGACTTTTAGCATTTACTTTGACTTCATCATGGCTTTCAACAGTACCTCCCAAATATTCTTGTATCAAAATTGCGATGTTATGGTATAATTGGATGCAAAACTAGCAGGGTAAAAAAAATGGTTCTGAGAAAGAGATCACTGTGAATTTAATAATTTTAAAATGCTGCATTTATTTTGACTTCTAGCTTAAAAATGAGTTATGTCGATTTGTTACAAAGGACACTTGGGCAGAAAGCAAAGACATTGCAAATGTCTCACTGTTTTCAGGGAAGCTAGTATCACCAGGTTAATAAAAGCTGCCTGAGTTACAACTCAATACTTCTTCACTGGTGTTTGCTGAACATCTTGTGCTCCCATTCATTGCTGTAAAAGGTGTCCTTCACTTCAATCACCATCACAGTTTGCTGGTAGCTGTTACAAAGGCTGTGGAATTCAAAACCTGTGAGTTCTATCCCTATTTGTACCTGGTTGAAACTTCAGAAAGAGACAAATACTGAAGAAGATCTTTGATTCCCCATTATCTTGCAGGCATATGTATGCCATGTGAGATTTATTTTATTTTATTTTATTTTATTTTATTTTATTTTATTTTATTTTATTTTATTTTATTATTTATTTATTTATTTTATTTTATTTATTTATTTTATTTTATTTTATTTATTTTATTTATTTTATTATTTTATTTTATTTTATTTTATTTCCAGAGAGGCTGTGCATGCCTCATTCCTGGAAGTGTTCAAGGCCAGGTTGGATGGGGCTTTGACCAACCTGTTCTAGTGGAAGATGTCTGTGCCCATGGCAGGGGGTTGGAATTAGATGACCTTTAAGGTTCCTTCCTATCCAAACCATTCTGTGATTCTGTGATTCCAGAATCATTCTGGAAAGGTCTGAAAAATTATTGTCAGGTAATACAAGCAGTTGGGAAATGAAGCATTAGCGTATAATGAAGGAAATGAAAGAAGAACTAGAGGACATTGAAAAAACTTTTAGACTCACATAAATTTATTTTTTCAAGGCTTCTTAAACTATCTGATCTTACTCCCACTACTAGTAAAATTCAAGTGAAGATGGGAAGTGACAAAATTGCTGAAATAACAGCTGAATTGTGAATGGTAAGTGGTTTATTACTGTAGAAAATTTATAAGATGGGACTATCTCCATTATCCTCAACATATCCTTGCTACAAAAACATTTACACTTAAGATTCTCAGGTTTGCAAGTTGCAAAAATTAAGTAGCATTGGTTCATCCTGCTTGCAACTCTCAGTCCAGTTCACACATCCAAAGATGTTGTAATCTCAGAATGACAGCTTTTATTTACAAAACAAAATAGGCAATGATACTGGATTTCCAGCATGGTAATACTGGCTAACACATACACGTGCATGAGGCACATGCATTATTTATTTGGCAAAGACCTTCCTGGACTGGAAACATTTAATGTTTGCAAAAATACCTGAGTTAATGAGAGATTTATTAACCTTATTTGGTAGCATTTCTGATATGGTTTCCAGCATATTTTATAAATTTTCATTAAATTTTCATTCTTCTTATTGAGAATTCCAATTTCCTTTAATAGATAAAGTAAGCAAACAGCATAGTTTTGGTAAAGTAAAATATTACACTAAATCATAGAACAGATGAAATATTTATATACCACATTGGTTCAAATGAGTTAGAACATTTCATTCATGCTGATGGCTTCGAGTATTCTCCTTTTAGAGAACTGCTAGCTGTAATTGTTTCAGATGTGTTGATGGAATGAAAGCCATAGACTGATTCTTCAGTAAATTGGGGATCAGATCTATTTTTTTTCCCTACAGTTTCCTCTATTTTTCTGTTAAATGTAGTCAGCCATTTTCTGTAGTCAAAGACTCTACAGAATGGATTAGGTATGTACCTCTGCTATTTATTTATTTAATTGTATGAATAACTATTAAACTTATTGAAATCAGGGAGATAACAAAATTCTATTTTCTCTTTCTTAAATTTATTCTATGTGTGTGTGTTTAAATCATTCCATATTTCAATTAATATTAATGAAATTCTGGACAAAATAAGCTATTTAATCTAGCAAAGGAGATTTTTGGCTGACAGACAGTTTCAAAACTCTATAGAGAAAGAAACAAATAAAAGCCTGAACTTGAACTATAGATCTTCAGTTCCCAGCTAAGCCAGTGAACCAAATGAATAATACAGAGTCCTATTCAACTTATGGAGAATACTTCCAATAAAGAGCTGATCACTCCCAAGGAAGAAATCATGGGCTTTTCAAAACTGTTCACAATAAAATTTTCTTATCAAGGTAATGGTCGTATCCATGTAGGATACTCAGCATCTTGGTTTTTCAGTAAGCTCAATAGAAGCTAAAGATGGGAAACAAATAGCAGGACTTCCACTGACATTTGCAAGATAAGGCCAGATATGACAAAAACAACTGGAAACCCCAATGCAGAGAAGAGTATTTTGTATTTCCCACTTATTTACTTATTTGTCTTAAGGATCTTTTTATAAATATGTATTTACTCAATGTTTTTTTGCATCCTCTACTTATATTAGCATCTTTTTATTTTTATTATCTAAATATAATATTATTAAAAGGATTTATTCCTGATAGAAAAGCACTGTAAGAAAGGAAGCTCAGTCTTCTTAGCTCTGGAGGAAAATGCAAACAGAAATGTAGGGCAAACATAACAAGAGAATGAAAAGAATGATGGAAAAAAAAAGTGGCCTTTTCCAAGGACA